AGGAGGAGGAGGCTGAGAGAGAGACCCGCGAAGCCATGGCGGGGGTGGGGGGGAAGGAGGGGTGGACACCGGCGCCGGAGTGGCGGCCGGTGGGAGGGGGGTGGGCGCCGGCACCGGAGTGGTGGTCGGCGCGGATGGTGGCCGCCGGGACCGGGGAGGCCGCCGGCGCTCAGAGGAGGGAGGCGCTCAGAGGATGACACAATTGTGGTCTCAATGAATAGAAAGTTGAACGGTTATCAACGTTCGGGTTTGCCACCTCTTTGCCATCGGATCAAGTTCATCCAACAATACAGATTCAAAGTTATTCGTATATTATATAGGGGTATAGAAATGCTAACTACGCAACTGGGAGGACATGTCTGAAGAGATAGTGCCACTCCTGTCATCAGTCCTGTCCTGACCCAACCGGCTAATGGTTTATGCTCCTTCTACAGTATAACAATGTCAAGATCTCGCTCTCGGGCCTGAGGCTTGACACGAGAGCGAGCGACGGCTCGGTCACCACCACACGCTCGCGCCTAGGAACACCGCACGGTAGCGCACCGGAGTACGTCATGTCTGGCAGTCTCACCCCGAAATGCGACATGTACAGCTTTGGGGTGGTGTTGTTGGAGATTCTGATCACAGGGATGAAGTGGGTAGACATGAAAAGACCCGTCGAGGAGGAGCGGGAGCTGCTGGAGTACGCGCGGCCGAATCTTGAAGACCCGGTTAAACTGGCAGGGTTCATGGATAAAGCATTGAAGGGCATCTACCCAGTGGCAGCGGCACACAAGGCTGCCTTGGTCACATACAGGTGCCTCCATGTCAAACCCGAGAACAGGCCGGACATGTCGGACGTCGTGGAGGCGCTCGATCAGCTTACCGACGCTGCCATCAAGGAGGATCAGTTGCCTGTGCCGGCGCCTGTGTCACCCAACTCCAACCTACATAGGTTCACCTTCGCTGAGTTGAGCGCCGCGACCGGAGGGTTCGCCTCCAGAAACAAAATCGGCAGTGGCAGTTTCGGGACGGTGTACAGGGGATCCCTCGAGGACGGCATCCCGCCGGGGCTCCGTGCGCAGCCCGTCGCAGTCAAGAGAGCGCGGGCAGACAACTACCACTCCGAGGAACATCTGGTATGTAGGTATAGATAGTGTACGTGTTCGATTAGTGGATGTCTCTAATTGACTTCCTTCAATGTGGCTAGAAAGATTCGATATTCCTGGGGGAGCTGCAGCCGCGGCAGCCGAGCCTGGTGAAGATGATCGGCTACTGCTACTAAAACCTCCCAATGATTTGTATGCTGGAAACCTCCCAATGAACATGTTGAGTCTAACCCACATTTACAAAAGTAATACTTCTTTGAAAGTGATTTGTGGTGCGTGCCGAGCATGATTATGATTAATGATTTCTGCTACTAAAACTAAAATGGAATAAGTTAATTTCCCGGTGACAAGTACCTGCAAAATAATTTCATGTGATATCTATCGGTAACAAAAAATATTATGTTTAATATGTTTTAGATATTCGTGTTGTGTTGTCATTGTCAACACGATTAAGCATTGCTCTAGCTACCGCGAAAGGGTTGTTGTCCCTCCACGGTGAAGAGAAGCCATTGATCTCCAGCAAATTTAACGCCTCCAACATCTTACTAGACTCGGTGATCATTCTTCCTCTTTTCTATGTGATTATTTATTTATGTCATATGCACGGAATTTCGAAAGGATGCCTATTTTTTTATAAAAGAAGCTTTGCATCCTAATTTCGTTGGAATAAAATTGATAGTACAACACTCCCAACATTTTTGTTTGTTTGACCGTGTTCACTAGCCAACAATTGGAAAGAAAGAAACAACCACCTAGCCCGGGAGGAGAGTACAACAATTAACAAGACTATATATACTTAGAACCATTCGGCATTTGGCAACTGTGAAAACATCCACCATGTGGGACACTTCCACTTGAAAAATTAAGACTTACCACTACATCAAGAAACTAAAATGGTATAAACCCATTGTCATCCATAGTAGCTCCCTAATCATTACAGAGACAAAGCGCCTTGCAATTTCCTTCATCAGCTTCATTACCCAACCTTGCTTGCCGTTGAAAAAAATTGTGGCCACTATAAGGAGCTTTGCTCCGTTGCATCGCAACTTTAGAAGTACTTACATTTGTAAGTTACACAAAAAGAATCGTTGGGGTAAATTCCTCAAAAGCGGGTATCATTTCTAGCTATCCACAAAACCCTGATAACAACAACACATCTAAAACAATAAGCCTAGCTTTAGCCGTGAAGTTGTTTGCTACGCTGCATTGCAACTTTAGAAATAGTTACTTATGTAAGTTAGACCAAAAAGATATGTAATCAGCTATAGTAAATACTATATCGATAGAATCATTAGGATAAATTCCTCTAAAGCAGGCATCATTTCTAGCTTTAGCCGTGAAGTTGTTAACCCATGTAGGTAGCATACTAAAATTGACATGAGCAACTCTTAGGTTAAAAGTGCACAAAGCTACTCCCGAGGTATATCTGGCCATTGGACAAGTAAAGAAAAAGTGTCAATTCTTTCTTCCCTAATACCAAACAGACATTTGTCATTCTAGTCTATCCCCTATTTAGTGAAGCATCTCTAGTTAGAGTGCTCTTAAGAAAAGCAATCCGTAGAAACACCTCGATTTTCAATGGCATTTTCTAAACCAAATATCCTCAAACGTAAAAGCTACTTGCATAGGTGCATAATATACATTGAACACTAAATTATCCAGGAGAACAAAGACTCTGAATAGATTCTTCATCGTCGCCACTGATAGAGAAGCCATCAAACAATTTGATTAAATCACACCACATCACAGCTAAACCCCCACAAAATTCTTCTGGAATTTAGACTCCCCGCCATTCATAGAGAAGTCTAGTAGGAGTGATGTTCTTACTATGTGACAAATTATATGGCCTAGCATATTTGGAATACATGGATTTATCACCAATCCACCAATCCTCTCATAACCTAGTCCTTGAGGATAACTTGTTTGAACTAGCACAATAGTTGTTGTATGTTCTCATTCTAAAGTTAGTGCACCATTCAGGTAAGTAAATATTAGTAGGCACACAGGTAGCATGTTGCAAGAAAGGAAAAAGCAACAGCTAGGGCTTCGCATCTCGTTCTGTTAGCCAACGTCAAATCTTCATGCCCATGACTTACAGTTGTGTTTTGCATAAAAATTGACATGAGATTAGAGGATGTGCTTGCATGGGCTTGTCCGTTTGCACACGAATGTGTGTCTTCTTAATTTACTTCTGCAATCATGATTTTTTCCATTTGACAAGAATTTGCATTTTTGTTTATGCACTGAAAGAGTCATGGACATCGTCATTAAGCATTTTTTTCAACATGGCCACTGGAAAGGCCATTGATATTAACTGGCTAGACCCAACATACACTCGCTAATGATTTTCACTTTTTGTACACTTCAGTATAACAATGTCAAGCTTTCGGACCTGTGGTTCGCCAGGAAATATGGGAAAGGTGACGACTCTAACGAGTACACACTCATGACAAGTGGGTACGGCTGTCCGCCGGAGTACGTCATGTCTGGGGACTTCACTATGAAGTGCGACGTCTACTGCTTCGGGGTGGTGTTACTAGAGATCCTAACCAGGCAGAGGTTGGATTGGGTGACGCGAGCTTCAGAACAGAACCTGCAGAATCTACGACCGCGTCTGAGAGACCCGCTCGAGCTGGGGAGGGTCATGGACCCGGTGTTAAAAGACATTTACCCAGTCGCAGCGGCACATGAAGCTTGCATGGTCGCGTATAGGTGCCTTCACGCAAGCCCCGAGAAACGTCTAAGCATGCTAGCTGTTGTGGAGGCGCTTGATTTGCTTGTTCGTGCCACCACCACAGACGAGGTCAATGTTGGACAGACAAACACAAGGACGTGATCATGAGCTGAGCTTTGTCATAATTTCCATGTAAATATGTTAGTCCGATCTCTATGTTCTTGTAAATTATGTACACACGATCATTGTCGTTATGTTTATATTTATGTACTATGGCGTGTTTGCATGTTTAATTCACTATGTTGTTTCTCTCTTATGGATACATTAAAAAAAGACATCCAAAAAGGCATATTATATCTGATATTTAGCAAGGAAAATACTAGACAATACAATTGAAACACAACTGGATAGTACAAAATAAAATTACATTGCCAAACATACTACTCCCTCCATTACATATCTAGTTGTGTCTCACTACTTAGTTTGGCCATTAGAAGTTACAACTGCTCAAAAATGCCATTACATATCTAGAAAATGTCATTGTTCCCCTAGATGTTTGCTCAAAATGCCATTAGACATCGTTATTGTAAGGTCAACTCCATTGACCATGTTATATGACAAAAATACCCCTAAGCCCACATTCACTCTCTCTATCTCACAATGATATGTGTGGCCCCCACTTATTAGGAGTAAGCAAGCGAATAATTTTATAGAAAAATAGGAACGTTGTTGGGATCAAGTAGGACGCACACATTATTGTAGTGAGATAAAGGGAGAGTTGACATGTTCGTCCATAGGTATTTATGCCACTACAACATGGCAAACGAGATTTGAGTTGACAATAATGATGTCTAGTGGTATTTTTGAGCATGCGCCTTACGAAGCGATGTCATTTTTGAGCAGTTGAAATTCCTAATGGCAAAATTAAGCAGTGCGACACAACTAGTGGCATAAATGATAAAAACGCTACAAAATAAGTGCCGCTGATTTAATACAAAGTTAGTACAACATTATACCAAATTAGCGACACTTTTTTTGGGATAAAGGGGGTATTATTCTTTTTCCTTCGATTGTACGACACTCGAGGAGAGATTGAAAATGCACTAAACCAGTAGTAAAAGAAGGGGATATCTGCAAACGCCTTCGTCGTACCATGCTTTAAAGACCGCAATAACCACTCGTCCCTTGCGAGGAGATCTAGAAGTCGTTGACGAAACATCAGTTGGAGCATCATCCCATGCAAAACAAACTTGCAATCCGTCACCATCGTTTTAGAGGGTTGGATAAACTAGACCAAGCAATAGAACAACACAAAATAAGATGTCAAAGTCGTCGCACCAATGGCTAGCCAATTGCTCTGCTTGAATGACACACCAAAAGCCAAGATCTGAAGAGAGACAAGATATCCGAGGATACAAACTCTCATAGACCCCTTCACACCGGAACGGATATCATTGAGGTAGGGAGAGACCAAAGAGATCTTATTCCTACACGTCATTACCGCCGCCTCCTTGATGCCGCCGAAAAGTATGAGGCATGCAATGGCGTTTTGACCTTGGAATATATTTTTTCTAGACCCCCCCCCCACCCCCCTACACAAAAAAAACTCACATATAAGTCCTCTTTAAACCTTTTGTTAAAACCAATGTGTATCACTTGAACGGGTTTATGGCTCCTGATGCGCAATTTTTGAGTTAATTAATGGACAAAAGTGTGCATCTGTCCAAGTTTATGGTCCAATTGGACAATTTATTAGTCCAGAATGTTCTAGGTAAAAGCACATTGGGTCATCGCTATGAAGCAGTAGAATGCATTAGCTTTATTTTTGGAGAAATTTTCATAGTACTTTTTTCAGAGAAATAGATTTTTTAGGGGATTCAGAGAAATATTTTTTTTTTGAGGAAATTCAGAGAAATAGATGGGTTAGCTAACTGGGCCACCCTTTTGGTAACACACGCGACAGAATGCCCAAAGGCCCATCGACCCAAGCAGCAGCCGCCGCCCCCATTTGCTACGGGGGAGAAGGCGAGTCGCGATCGAACTCCATCCCCAAAATTTCGAATTTGAAAAGCGGCGAAGAACTCCACGCCATTTTGACGAATCTCTCCGTAAGTTGGATCCCTTCGTCCCTCAACCCCTCTAGATCCGATCCAATCTCCATACGCATATTCCTCCATGGATTTTCCTGCGTAATCTTTACGCCGGGTGCCCGTGAACCTGTACGCAGGCCATCTGCTCGACGAAATGCGCCGGACAACCTCCCAGCGCTAGGGGCCTTACCGCCGCGCTGGCCAGACGTCAGCCTCCGGCGCCGGCGCCAGCGCCGTCACTTTCGACCGCCTCAGCGCCCTACCGGACGCGCTCCTGCACCACATCATGTCGTTCCTGAAGGCGTGGGAGGTGGTGCCCACCTGCGTGCTCGCGCGGTGCTGGCGCCACCTCTGGGCGTCCGCGCCCTGCATCGACCTCCGCGTGCGCCACTCCTCCTTCCGCGATGCCAACCCGCCGGAGGAGTTCCGTGACTTCGTGGACAGCCTCTTCCTCCACCGTGATGTGTCCGCTTCGGTGGACACGCTCCGCCTGCGGTTCAGCGATGACTATGTGGGCTTCGACGAGAAAGATGCCAACTCGTGGATCAGGACTGCTATCGGCCGCAAAGCGCGGGTTATTCATCTTGTTGGACATCGTAAGGGAGTCGCGTCACTGGACCGCGTGCCCTTCGTCTCTTGCCATCTCAAGATCTTGAAGTTGTCGTATGCCATGCTCGACGATAGGATCCTTGGACAGCTTTCTTCTAGTTGCAAATCCCTGGAAGAGCTGGATCTGAAGGATTGCTTGGTCACTGGCCCTGGGATTGTGTCTACCTCTTTGAAGACTTTAATCATGCTCAAATGCACGTTCAACTGGGAATTCTTGATCACTGCTCCGAACCTTGTGCTTCTTCGCCTCATCACGCCTTCCGTCCGAGTTCCGTCATTTACGAACTTTGGGTCACTGGTCACAAGCACCATCATACTTGACGATTCTCTCTTGTGTGATGATTTTGGATACATCAGTGATGAAGATAATTTTGATGAAACTACTGATGATGATAACCACAACGATGATAAGAGTGAGAACTATAACATTCATGATGACTGTTCCTTGAGTGATGATGATTTTGGATACATCAGTGATGATAATTTTGGATACATCAGTGATAATAACTTTGGATGCATCAGTGATGATGGCGATTTTGATAAGTTTGGATTTGGATATGGTTTTCCTAAAGGAAGATATGGACACAGCCGTTACAAGGATAATTACGATTATGGTAGCGATATTGATAGTGATGACAATACCTATGAATACAGTGAGATTGCAAATGATGCAAAGTATGGCTACAAAGGGGCCAAGCTTTCCAGTGAAGATGGTAAGTATGGTGGAAATAGTGGTGGAAATTATAGTAAGATTCTAGGTGGCCATAATATGCTTGAGAGCCTTTCTACTGCTACAAGCTTGGAGTTGTTAACTGATGCTGGAGAGGTATATCTATCACCATCATTTACTGATCTGTCTCTTTCCTCTCTTATTTTCTATTTATATTTTCCACAGACCGTAGTTATCATGGGACATGTTTTCCGGACGTTTCAGAAAGAAACGTCGTGTTCCCTTGAACAGAATACATGTGTCGAACAAACACATTTCTGACCTTCTGCTCTAGTGTCAATACCTGGTTACAGAGTTTAAATTAATAAATTAGTACTAGTTTGCTTAATCATCAAATGTAGTAGTAGGGAATCAGTTAGATGAAAGACAGTAGATTCGAGGGAGCATTGTTCACCATTTACGTTCTCATAGGATTGTTTGTCGTGTTTCTCTTTGTTGCAACAGTGTATCTTTTCAACAGATTAACTATATATAATGTAAAAAAACTGATTAATTATATCCAGTCATTATTAGAGAGTCTAAGGCCGATGTTCCTTCAGTTACTAGAAAACTGATTAAGGAATTTTGTAGGAATTCTATAGGATAAGATTTCTAAAGGAAAATTTCATATAGAACCGTTTGGTTTGTAGGAATGGATTCTTATTTCTATGTAGGATCTGTTCCTATCCTTCACATTTCAAAGGGGAAAAACATTAGCTCATACCTAATGGAAAATTTTCTATCCTATGAACCTAGTGACATCTCTTTTTCCTATAGGAACTGAGATGCATGTCATCTCACTTCCTATGACTTTTCTATTATTATGATTTTCCTATCCTATGAACCAAAGGAGGCCTAATTATATGTTATATGTTGTTTTACCTTCTTTTTTGAGATGGGTTTCTTTGTTTTATTATTTCTGTTTAATAAACCACTCGTAAGCAGTTTGTATTGTGAGAACTGAGAAGTTGATTCGACTTACTACTTTTCTTTGCTAAATACTCTTTTGGCTGCAATATGAAGGTGGCTCTGAGTAGGGAATTGAAAAGGTGTCCAACTTTTAGCAACCTGAAGACCCTGTCCCTTGGTGAATGGTGTATGGCCGCTGATTTTGATGCATTAATTTTCTTGCTACAACATTCACCTAATATAAAGAGGTTTTTTCTCCAACTTAAATTGGTATGTGTGATTACATATTTGGTGTATGCTACTTGATCCTTGACTTTATTTTTCTGATCGCATGCTTAATAACAATTTGGTTAATGTGCTAAAGAACTTCGGCATGAGGAAGGCATTGGAAACAGGTATCAAGCTTGAGAGGAGATCATTTACTTGCAAAGACCTTAGAATGGTTAAGATCAAATGTTCAAAGGATGATGGGAGAGTCCACACCTTGGCACATATGTTCAGCGCAAATGGTATACCCCTTCAGTATATTTATGTGCGTCGGAGCGGGAATGCTCGTGAGTCATACCTTCTCTTCATATACCATTTTGTATTTACTTCCAATATCAGTACATCCTTACTGGTTTGTTGGTTTATATGTTCATGTGCTATTTACTGAGATGTAATGACACACATTGCCATGTTCTTGAAAAGCTAAATATGTTTTTAGGTGGCATATGATCTGCTTAGTGTTTCATCAATATTCTATTACATGAGATGTGTATTCTATTAATTACATGAGATGTGTATTCTATTAAATTAGAAGATGTTCTTTCATACATGGTCCTAATCTATAGTCATCTACTTTCTGATATTTCTACCAGATCTCCGCGGCCAAAAGTTTATGAGGGAACTCGCCAAGCAAGAACTGGATGAATGTGGGGACGACTGGATGTAACATGACATCCAGAAGTTTATGAGGGGTCTTCTAGATGATAAATCCTGCCGCGATCGAACCATGCATTATGTAGTTAGCAAGGACCTAGTAAGAACCCTTGATCTCCATGAGGTACTGATGATGCTTTCAAAGCTTCACTGGATCCTTTGACGTCTTTTTTTAGTAGCATGGATGATGGAACTATTTATCAGTACAAATCGTTGGGATGTTCTTCCTAGAATCCCGTGGGATGAGTTCATATGTGTGTTCTGTAGTAACTTTGCTTTCTTACCGGAATAGAAACAAAATTATGGATGCTCCTTGCCTGAATTGTGGTACAGCGGAGATACGCTTTGTTATTTCGCTCCGACAGTATGACCGTAGGGTTCATTTGTCAGGTTTTTTTTATCTTCATAAGTTTAGTAGTATATTGAAATATGTTTTAACTGTAGTAAAAAGGAAATAAACTTCATATGCAACAGGTAGAATATTGAGGTAAGCTTCATGCTCTGCAATCATGTGTGCCTACCACTATGAGCAGCGAGGTATTTTCGCTCTGAATAACAAATACCAACACACCTGAAAAAAATGCACAGTGTTTTTTAATTGAAAATGACACAGTTAATAAGAGAGTGAATTCCAATGTTTACCCACTGTTTTTGTATTTGTGATAGTATTTACTCCATTTAAATTTTCCGCCACATTGTACCTCAAAATATGATGCAGTCAAGTGAGCTGGGGTGGTTTTATGGCCTGTGCTGGCAGAAGGAGATTTAAGAGCAAACATAGTAGAGTCGCCACACTATGCATCTGAAGGCCGGCGTGAGCGCGACGTCCATTTTCTGCTAGGCTGCTATCGACATCGAGTCAAAATACTCAAGGGCGGCGGGCCCGTCCAACGACTGATTCAGCTTTACGGTGTGCGTCGTCCTTGATCCACTCAAAGTAGTCCCATACCCTCTCCCAGAACTCTCTCGGTGTGTGCCGGGGAGGACGTGGCCGCACCGACATGCTCGATGAGGTTGAGTGTGGCGGCGGGGACTAAGGAGGGTTGAGAGGGAGCGGAGCGGATAAGGTGAGTGTGTCGGTGATGGGATCGAGGAGACGGGGACAGAGGTTGAATGTGGTGCTGATCCGTAACTCTAATTCCGTACGAAGCTGTCCGTAGGTCTAGCGTCTCCCAGTATACACTGCCCACAATTTAGTTTAATTTTTTGAATGTTGACAATGCCACAAATTTACAAAACGGGGATACAAGTGGAGTTCACTCTCAATAAAAAAAGACTTGGGAGTTTACGCCATCCCACTCGACAATTCACTCCCAAGCAGCCGCACACCGAAACCGAGAAAGCGGCAACAGACTCCGCCCATTTCGCTGAGTTTCTCTTCGTAAGTTCCATTCCTCGTCTCCGTCCGTATGCATATCCCCCCGGGATTTCAAAATCCCGACTGACGAGGCTGCTGCGGGGTGACCCTAAACCCCGGTGCAGGTCTTCTGCTTGACGAAATGCGCCGGAGCACCACCCAGCGCCCGGGGCCGCGCCGCGGCGCCGGCCTCAAGCCCGACCGCCTCAGCGCCCTCCTGGACGCGCTCCTGCACCACATCATGTCATCCCTCAAGGCGTGGGAGGCGGTCCGCACCTGCGTGCTCGCGCGGCGGTGGCGCCACCTCTGGGCTTCCTCGCCCTGCGTCGACCTCCGCGTGAGCCACTCCTCCGGCCGCGACGCCGACTCGCCGGGGGAGTTCCGCCACTTCGTGCACCGCCTCTTCCTCCTGCGCGACGCGGCGGCGCCCGTGGGCACGCTCCGCCTGCGGTCCGGCGACGAGGACGCCGGCTACGACAAGAACGACGCCAACGCGTGGATCACGGCCGCCATCAACCGCAACGCGCGGGTCATCCATCTCGCCGGGCATCGCTCGGAGATCGCATCGTTGGACCGCGTGCGGTTCGTCTCCTGCCATCTCAAGGTGCTGAAGCTGTCGTATGCTAGGCTCGACGACAGGGTCCTCAAGCAGCTCTCTTCCAGCTGCAGGTCTTTGGAGGAGCTGGATCTCAAGGATTGCCTAGTGACGGGCGCCGGGATTGTGTCTGCCTCTTTGAAGACTTTGATCATGCTCAAGTGCAAGACCAACTGTGCCTTCTCCGTCGCTGCTCCGAGCCTCCTAATTCTGCGCGTCACCATGCCTTACGTCCGAGTCCCATCGTTCAAGAACTTGGGGTCACTGGTCACACGCATTATCATACTGGATGACTCTTTCTTGGGTGATGACTTTGAACACATCAGTGATGAAGATGACTGTGATGAAACTACTGATGATGACGGGGGTGATGGTGATGATAATGATTGGACAGAGAGCTCTAAGATTCATGATGACTCTTCCTTGGGTGATGATTTTGGATATGATCATTTTATAAGGTTTGGATATGGACATACTTTTGCTGAAGAAAGTTACACGCAGGGTCGTTACAAGGATAATTTTGATTATGGTAGTGATATCGACAGTGATGACAATACCTATGAATACAGTGAGATTGCAAATGATGCAAAGTATGGCTGCAAAGGTAAAGGTCAGCTTTCCAGTAAAGATGGTAACTATGGTGGAAACAGAGAATGCAATGGCAGGAAGATTTTAGGTGGACGTCATATTCTTGAGTCTCTTTCAAGTGCTAGAACTTTGGAGCTGTTGACTGATGCTGGAGAGGTATAGCTGTCATCACCTTTTACTGATCTTTCTATCTTTTATTTAGTACGAAAATTTCCTTGATATAGCCATAATTGCTTTTTAACAGCCTTTTCTGATGTTTGCAAAAGAATTTTGTGTCGCTCCCAACATAACACATATATGTCCAATGTGCACATTTCGTACATAGGTAGCAACCTCTGGTTAGCACATTTGACTTGGAGAAGAGTTCAGAATTCAGATCAAGAAATTAGTACGAGCTCATTTCACCATCAAAGTAGTATGAGCACAGTTGACTCGGAGATAGCCTTCCATTGTGGTTGAACTTAGCAATCTACACCTCCTTATCAATCATCCGTGCTATTGGGAGGCTCCATGCTTCATCTCTCAGGTTGTAGGGTAAATTCAAAACCCTAGCCCAAACTTATAGTCGATCAAACATGACCTCATCAGGGCGCATGCACTCTTCGAACTCGGCCAGGATGACCGCGTTCTTGTTGATGTGTCAGGGCGATCCCGCCCACACTCTATCACGATCACGCTGGGCCTCAAATTCAGCAACAAAAGTGTTCGCCCCAGTTGATCGGAATTGCAGTCCTCTAGGGTTTCCCCAAGCCGGTCGCAAAGCGTTGCCAATGGTATGAATATGATACAGGTTTCGGTAGAGAACCTTCCCTGCTAGCAACCACTTCGCCGGAGCACCGTCCTGCTGGTCATCTATCACGAGAGGAGTCGCCTCCTCTTCGGATATATCCAGCTTCCCCAGAGCTTCCTCTAGTCTCTCCCTCGCCGATCTAGGGTTGGTCGAACTAGAGTCCCCTTGCGCCGCCTCCGCCGCCGGTGGTGTAGCCATCACCCCGGCCAAGCCCTTGGGCGGCCCGCCGATGATCTCCGCGGCCGCCGATCGGTTTCCACTCCAAACCCTAGCGCCGCCAGAGAGCCCTAGGTTTCGGGAAAAAAAAGCCCCACACAAAGTACTCAGATTCAGAATGTCCTATGAACCAGAATGCCACTTGCAGTCAATACTAAGTACGCAGATTTAATATCCATTTGTCAGGGGATAAAGCAAAAATAATCAAATTTTATGATCAAGCAGATGTTTGTGCGTGTCATCCTATGCCATGTAAAAATGTTGGACAAGATTGTGACCGAAGCAAGCAAGAAAAATAATCACAAGCTGGGAAAGCATGACTAGAGTACCAAATTGCTAATAAATACATAGTATGGGGCCACACTACACTGCTACTACAAGCTACTTCCTGATGAGTAAATCATTTGTCAAACAGATTGCTACACAAGTTCACTTAAATGACAACACATCCTAATCGGAGGAATAGGGAAAAGAAAGTAAAGAAATAACATCTTTAAGTAGCTAGGCACTTGGCAAGCTGGTACTAGTACTATCAGATTCCTTAGGGCCTATTCGGTTTGGAGGATTCCTACAGGATTTTTTCCCATGGGATTTTTTCCTATGTTGGGCATTCGTTTCATAGGAAACAGAGATGCTACATTCCTAAGGATTGTGCCCATATTAGCCTAATTCCTAAGGATTCTTAGCATTAGGTGAGACCTCATGAAAAATTCCTAAGAATTGGAGTGGACATGACATCACAATCCTTTACTTTTCCTATTCCTACAATCTAAGAATCCTATAAAATGAATGAAGCAGCCTTATAATGAGGGGAGCTCCTTTCCACACTTATGCCTTTTGTATTCCATGGCAAATTAAAATAAGGCATATGTCTACGGGAGCTCTTGGCTAGTTCATTCTGACTTATTATCATAACTATTTTGCTACTCTATCTATTATGTTGTCATCAATGCCAAAAGGGAGAGGTTAAACGGGCATTTATGCCCTTAATTATTTTTTTGTGCTAATGACAACATAACTTGTTGTTCTAACCGCATGCTTGAGTCTATAAATAGTGCTGCCACATCATGGAAGAATGCATCGATGG